CGTTTCCCTCCCTCAGGGAACATTGGTTATATTCATAACCTCCAGTTTTCAAAGAGATTTCAATAAGATGATTATATGTGTGTTTTATAATGGATTTCAGAGTAAAAGTAATTCAGGATTTGGGGCATCTGATGAGCTATCTAGTGAAGAAGAAGAAGGTGGAGTGGAAGATATTCGGCCAACACAACATCTGAAGGTTCACACAACTAGTCCAATATCAATATCTGCTTCAGCATCTCCTGTTAGGAAGAGAATTGTGAAATCTTCTCCTAAACCAACACCAAGACCTCAGGTAAACTTTTTGCCTCATTGTAAGTTGAACTTTAAAGTATGTTTAATTAAAACGCTCCCTTGACTCAGACGTATAGTTTGTATAACTACATGTTTCTAATGTACAATAATGAAGAAGGGCACTGTTGATAAAGTGCAATGTTCTGTGGGCAGGAGGGGAATGTGGCTTCTAACAAGGCGAAGCTTCGTAAGATGGAGCGCCTCATGCCAGGTTCTCGTCCTGCCTCTGACACGGACGACACAATGTGGGAGGAGCTCCTCCAGGAGCCTGACTCCCCCTCCACGGGGAGCAGTGACAGCGAGATTGATGGGAGATGTACCGCTGGGCTGAACATCCAACAAAACACCACTCAGAGCAGTGGTGATGAAAGCCTGCAACAAGGAATCAGCAATGTAAATATAAAATTTTAATAAGTTATAAATATATTTATATGTTGCAGTATAATCCTACTCAGTAAAAAAACAAATTTGCTTCATATGAACCATGACATGCCAATATTTTGTTTGCAGAATTGAACGTTACATTTACACACACATTGCTGTGATTTATTTCAGAGCCAGCTGACTTGGCTTCAGGCATGTCACCCCTCAAAGGACCGTGTTAGTGCTATAATATGGGAGAATGGAGAGTGCAAGAAAGCAGACATATCGGTACTGGAGATCAGTGGGATCATCCTCACACGGGTACACCTTCACATCTTATTACCATATTTTTCAGCCTATAAATCGTGGCTTTTTTGCTTAATTTACATGCCCTGCGACTTATACACTGAAGCGACTTATTTATAGATTTTTTTCCAATATTTATAAACCAATTTTTGGCTGAGATATGACCGTTTTCATTCATTCTTACTAAAATATTGAACACTACCATTTTCAGCTGCTAGATGGCACTTGAGTAGTAAGGCATGCCATTGTGCCATGTAATAGATAAAACTGGCTATTAATGACACAATCGGCTTGCCATACACTCCCACATTCATCCAGCTCTCCTGGAGCAACTGTCAAATCTGCTTAATTTTTGCTGCGCCGCCCCGGTGAGATGCAGCTAATTTGACCACTGAAGTGCATTTATTAAGTAAAAGTTAAACAGATGCACATTTGCTATAATGTCGAGCAAACAATTGTTTTAGATGCTTATCTTGTTAAATTTTGAAGAAACGCACAGCAAGTCGTCCTGTGCATGCTCCTACTTCTGCATATCGGCTTTTGAAATGCAGCTGATTTGACTGTCAAAGTGCATTTATTAAGGAAAAGTTAGACTGAGACACACTTTACTATAATTATGAGCAAACAAATAATTGTTTTTAAGTGTTATTCTTTTTAAATTCTTGTTAAAGTCCTCACGTGCACGCTCCCGCGGCCACCATTTGGCAGCTAATCGATTTTTGGCACACCAGCCCACATTTCCGGGTGGTCACTGGTCAGCGGTGATGTGTAACAAACGCCGCTTCACCGGTGACGCATAATAGATGCGACGTATACAACGAAGCAACATAAAAAAAAATTCCATTTGTATGCATCCTTTATGATTATCTATCGTTGTCTTTGTTGTCCACTGTTATCATTACTCTTTGTTAAAATCAGGTCTCTCTTGTAAATGAGTTTTCGAGGCTCATTGGGATTAACCTGTATAAATAAAGGTTGAATGAATGAGAAAAAAAATTTGGATTTTTCCACCTTATTAGACATATTTGAGCAGATGCAACTTAAAGGGTGGTGCGACGTGTACGGTGGAAAATATGGTAACATGATATCTCTGAATAGAATTACAAATCTTGAACAGCTTATGATGAATAGGTCTATATGCTGCTGGGTAAGATTTAATTGGTATGACTCTGTTGAGCTTGTAGCTGTCAGAAAATGTGAATAATGTGCTGCACATGGTCAAATCTTTCAATAATGGTGTTCATTTACAAAGTTTACGACGAGTGTCTAAGGCTGTTTTAGAAAAGCAGTTGAAGTACATGTTGTCTCAGGTTTGTCTTGCTGTGTTTGTTGTTTCAGGTGAAGTTAGTGGAGCAGGGCATTGGTTACCTTGGCCTCGGTGGCCTTATGACTGCCACCCTGGCACTGCTTCCCTTTGCGTTCCGCCTGGCTCAACGTTTGGACATGTCGAGCCTCAGCTCCCTCTCTCTCGCACAGCTGGTTGAAATCGCAGTGGGACCGACGGACGCCCGATCTTCTGCCTTTTTCTTCATCACAACAATTCAAAGAGTCTGTCTCACAGGGCTGTTCTTTTTTATGATGTGTGTAGCTGAGAGAACCTACAAACAGGTGAGACATGTTGTAAGTAAAGCTGAAGCAAAAAAATACAGTTTAATCATTCTTTTAAGAATTTATAACCTAAACATTTGATTGGAGCGGCTGTGGCTGAGTGGTTAGAGCAGTCGTCCGCCAATGCAAGAATTGGGGGCTCAAATCCACCAGCAGTCACATGCCGAAGTGTCCCTGGGCAAGACACTGAACCCCTTATAGCCTCCGATGTGTGTCCCATCAGTGTATGAATGTGATAAAGCTCTGATTAGTCTCATTAGAATAATTTTTTCAATTAGCTTTGTAGAGATCTAGTAGAGTGCTGTATGAATGGTTAAATGAGGACACAGATTGTAGTGTAAAGCGCTTTGAGTATCTGGAAATAAGATAGAAAGGCGCTATATAAGTACAGTCCATTTACCATTGTCATTGCTTCTCAAGGCCACATTAATGTTTTTTTATTAAATACGAGACAGATTTAGTTTGTTTAAATTTATAAAAATAAAACCTGTAGGTAAATGCATAATGGAGTAAACGTCAGCCACTTTCTAACTGGTTTGACCCATTATCTTGGTATCTGCTAACTTAAGAGACCATATTATCTTATTTCTCTTTAGTGTTTTTGTCAAATGGTGCATGTACCAGTAGTCACAATCCATTAAGATGGAGGAAATTGAGACTCTTGTGTGTGTTGAGACATTTTGTGGACTCGCATGAATGCTGTTTACTCACTATTCACAGCAGTTGCATCCTTACCTTAATGAACACAAAATCAAAATATATTTATCTCACCACTTCCTGAAATACTTTGATTGCAGTTTAGTTTTTATAACCTTTTATTTACTGACAGTATCATTAAACGTATTTGCCTAATGCCTGCAAAGAGGCTCATTTTGACCTTTCAAATAAAGAATGACCGTACATCCTCCAGAAGATCCTCACTGTTTACATGGCAGGGGGGCGCTGAGTTGGCAGAGGCTCACATCCAGAGAAGACAGCAACATTTACACCCATATCTTTTTTTTGCCCATTACAACTTAACAGGGTTGTTTCAGTTCACAAAAAATGTCAAAATATATTTGGATCAAAGCTGTGCATTAACTAGCATGTCAAGGAACCTAAGCGCAGGCTGAAAGTGAGCAAGAACATCCACAGGAAGAAACAGGACAACAGTAAAGAAAACCAGACTAGGGATATGTGAAGAGGAATGAAAGAAATCGGCTTACAGCAAAAAGGAAAGGTGAGGGGACAGCAGAGGGACAGCTAACGAGTTAAAGCAGTTTTTAAATAGGTATGACTCCAGTGCCCCATCCCCCAATACCATGCAGACGGCCATTATAAGCTCTGATCCAGACACTCTGCCACCCATCCTCCTGAAGAGGCTCAACCAGAGAAAGGCTGCTGGGCCGGATGGCATCAGCCAGACCGACAGCACTGACCTGTCACATCATGAACATCATGGAGAGGCTTGTCCTAACTCACCTCTGATCACTGGTAGGCTCATCACAAGACCCTCTGCAGTTTGAATACCAGCCAAAGGTTGGAATTGACAGCATCATCAAATTCTTGCTGCAGAAGGCATACTCCTTCCTGGAGTGGTAATGTCCACATATAGATTTTCTTTCCTTATTATTGCCAATGTTATGATGTATGTTTGTGTATGTCCTTGTTTTCCTACAGAGACTCTTATTTGCCAAATTTTTCAGCCATCTCACTTCAGCTCGCAAGGCTAAGAAGTCTGAGGTCCCTCATTTCAGGCTGAAGAAAGTGAAAAACATAAAGATGTGGTTGTCACTACGCTCTTTTCTCAGGGTGTGTAACCTCCGGTTTTAACACAGTCAATTGTTGCTTCACTAATAGATGAGTGTCCTGCACTTGTTTTGGCAACAAGATGTCTTTGTTTTGCTGCTCATTTCAGAGACGAGGCCCACAGCGCTCCGTAGATGTCATTGTCTCCACGATCTTCCTTTTAGCGCTTTCCATTTCATTCATCATCTGCGCCCAGGTCAGTCAGACATGTTGGAACAGGTTTGATGTGTATAACGAACATTGATTTAATTGTGTTGAATACGGGGGGGGGGGGGGGGGGGTGTCAGGCAAGAAGCTGAAAAGACAGAAAGTTACAACAAAATTCAACAGTCTATGCCTAAAACATGACTAAGCGCAGATCTGTTTTTATGCCAGATAACCGCGTTATCTCGACTTGTAACATCTCCTCTGCTCCATTTCAGCTTCTGCACAACCACAAGACATTTCTAGAGTCTTTATTAAACTGGGAACTCGTGTTGTGGTGTTCTTCCCTCCTCCTCTTCCTGCTGCGGCTCGCCACTCTGGGCTCAGAAACCAACTCGAAGTACAGCAACTCCTCTGTGCTGCTGACTGAGCAGGTGAGGCCCCCTGGCTGCAGAGTGCAGGAGGTGCAGAAGGTTTGAGCACTGAACTGCAGGATCAACAGTCATTAGGTGTTTCATTCTCTGGGGATGTGTTTGCTTTCATGCCACCTGGAATGCTGATTGTGTAAAGTTTGACAGTCAGTGCAGCCACGTCACTGCACTTTGACTTTCAACAGCAACAATGGAGGATGGAGCAGTCGGAGCTATGTTATTGTATCCCTTTCCCCTTGTGTACGGTAGTCCTACTTCAATTTTTAAATGTTCTGGCATTGTTTGAGGGCTTTGTGGATGTTCAGCTTTGAGAGTTCTGCAGAAATCTTGTTGAAATTGAAGTTCTTTTTAAGAGGAATCCAAGTCACACTGGATCTGTTCTGTAAACTATAGGCTCAGTAAAGCTTGACATTTAGTGTCCCTCCGTTGCTGGAGGCCGTTTCTCATCTTGTGAGTGATGCTGTAAATAACGCCAACATTTATAAATGGTGTGGGTCCTGGAAGAGCTTTAAACTTGTTCAACCAATCAATGCACTTATGTTTGGACCAGCCACATCCCCTTATGTCACTCAGAGGTTCCCACTGAGCTAAGAAAACACTTACTGTAAAACGAGAGCTAAAACTGGCCCAACAAACAGTTACTGGGACCACGAATGGCCACAATACCCCAGTGCCAAAAATAAAATAAGAGAACTGATTTTATGAACTCCCAGGTGGTCCAAAATTTCCTCTTGTTTATAGGTTAAAAATACAAGTTTGATCTTTGCTGTGCATCTTACAGTGTGTACATCTGTTGCTGGTTACAGATCAATCTGTATCTGAAGATGGAGAAAAAGCCGTATAAGAAAGAACAGCTCAGTATAGTGAACAACGTCTTAAAACTGGCTACAAAGTTGATGAAGGTAAGCAAACGTTTGAACTTTAATTGTAAAGTTTTTATCAATTGGAGCCTAGTTTGAAAATGCATGTCTTTCTAGTTACAGAGTAATTCAATTGAGTCTAATTAAAAAGTAAATTATTATAATAATTTAATACTAAGAGTTCACCATCGACCATGAGATCCTCATTCATTGCTAGGTTGGAGCAGTGGGTGGGCATCACAGGGTCAGCCCTCAATTGGTTCAGATCTTACCTCGCTGACAGACCCTTTTGTGTCTCCATCAAGGATTTTAGTTCTGCAGCGGCAGAGCTTAAATGGGGGGTTCCGCAGGGGTCCATCCTGGGTCTCCTCCTATTCTCTTTATACCTGCTACCACTTGGTGCTATTTTCCAGAAACACAACATACCCTTTCATTTCTACGCTGATGACTGTCAAATTTACTTTCCCCTAAGACACAATGGTACATGCTCTATTCAACCTCTGCTCAACTGCCTGGCTGACATCAGGGACTGGATGGCTTTAAATTTCTTAAGTTTCAATGAAAAGAAGTCTGAAGTCATGTTATTCCCTCCCAACGACACAATCACAAACCACTGCATTGACCTCTCCGCTCTAACCCTGTCAGAAAAACAAAGAGTCACTAATCTGGGCATGATAATGGACCCTTCCCTGAAACTTAACAATCATGTAAACATGATTGTTAAATCATGTTTCTTCCGACTGAGGCGGCTGTCTAAACTGAAGTCCATATTGTCCAAAAATAACCTGGAGACAGTAATACATGCATTCATTACATTTAGGCTTGATTACTGCAATTCGCTCCTGTTTGGTATCTGTCAAACCTCCAATGCACGACTACAACTGGTCCAGAATGCAGCAGCCCGATTTTTAACCAGTACAGGCAAAAGAGAGCACATTACACCAGTTTTGGCCTCCCTACACTGGCTACTGGTTCACTTTCAAATCCAGTTCAAAATACTCGGTTCAAAATACTCCTGTATGTCTACAAATTGCTGAACAGTGTCGCCCCCCCAATCTCTCTGATCTGCTACAGCCGTATGTTCCACCACGTTCCCTGAGGTCAGCGGACCAGTTGCTCCTCACAGTTCCAGGAACTCGTCTTAAGCGCAGAGGTGACAGGGTCTTCTCTGTAGCAGGCCCAAGACTTTGGAACGAGTTGCCTCTGCTTGTCAGACAGGCCCCCTCCCTCTCGGTTTTCAAGTCCCGTTTAAAAACCCACTACTATTCAGTCGCTTTCAACACCAGATGACACAGATGACCTGTGTTTTGAACCTGTACGCTCCACACTGGTTTGTCGTCATATTTATTATCTGCATCGTTTTTATGTCTTTATTCTGATTTACCTCATTTTGTATATTGCTTTGTGTGTTGCCTGTTTTTTTTTTTTTGTCTGTACAGCACTTTGGTTGGCCTTGTCGCTGTTTTAAGTGCTCTATAAATAAAATGGTATGGTATGGTATGGTATGGTATGGTATAAGCTAGTTTCTTGTCCTGTGTGTGAGACAACATCAGTACATTAAGAATGTATCCTATCTTCTTGTATTATGTATCATGAAATAAAGAATGTATACTGGTGGAATAAACAAAATAAACATCAAATAAGACGATAAAATTAAATAAATAAAACTGTATTAAAAAAAGTGCCTTCCGGGGGGGCATGGTCTGACAGTGACATGAAGTAGACGTGTCCAGTGCTCCGGTAAAACTTTACTTCTAAACAATACCAAGCCCTCTACATTTACTTTTATGCAGAGTATTGCACACCTAACTTTCATCAAACATTTGTTTAATGATATATCATCTTAAACATGTCTCAAAAATCGACAAAATCGAGCAAGAAGGACGACGCTCAGGCTGGCCTAACCCTAGAGGCCATTACATCTCTGCTTGAGGAGCACCGCGCTGCGCTGTCAGCCGAGTTCAAAGCCACCTTCAATCAGCTGGATGCCAAACTGGACCAGACCCAGCTCGCAGTGGAGGAACACGGCCAGCGTGTCTCATCACTGGAACTTGCCACTGACGACCTGAGCCAGCGCCTGACGGAGGTGGAAAACACCTGCTCAACTCTCCAGGAGGACAACTCCAGACTAAAGGCCAAACTTGCAGACTTAGAAAGTCGAAGCAGACGGCAGAATATTCGTATTCTGGGCCTACCGGAGTCTATCGAGGGCGGACGCCCCACGGACTTCTTCTCCAACCTGCTGTGCGACATCTACGGGCGTGACACTCTTCCATCCCCCCCCCCGAGTTGGACCGAGCTCATCGATCCCTTGCCCCGAAACCCGCCTCGGACCAGCGGCCGCGCCCGGTTATCCTGCGGCTACACCGGGTCCAGGTGAAGGAGCTCCTCATCCGGGAGGCCCGACGCAGAGGAAAGCTTGAATACCGGGGGACACCGGTGCGGATCGTGGAGGATTACACACCTGAAGTCCTGAACCAGCGCGCCGAATATAAAGACGTGATGGCTTCACTGTACTCTCTGGGTCTAAAACCGGCATTGCTTTTTCCTGCCCGACTCCGTGTGACTCTACCCGGAGGTAACAAAAGTTGGCTTGGGTCTGTGGAGGAGGCGCAGAAATACATCGACACCTTATCTCAGTCTTCACAGCGCAAGTAACACTTAACTTTTCCTTTGACTGTTGAGCAACGCGTTGGTTCCGCACTGGATCTGTTTATGATAAACTTTTTCTTACTTAAGGTTATATACATTTGAGAATAGGACTCTGCACATACTGTTCTGATTAATACATTTTTGTTTTCAGTGCCCTAAAAAAGTGCGGCTTTCTTTTTGTCCGTTTGTCTGTGCGATCAGACGCACACCCAAACAGTTGAATCGGGTATAAATGTGTGAATTATATAACGTTTCAATATATTTTTCTGAAGCTTAATTCAGCATTTTTCTTCTTATTTACCTGCGCAATTTGACTTTAATTTAATTTAATGTAACTTTATACTCTTATGTGTGTGCGTGTTTACACATGCATTTATCTGTACCATTTTTGACATAACTTTGCATACTTTAATAGCCTACTGTTATGTGAGGTGCTTATACAACCTTTTTTTACGATACTGGAGCTGGAGCACTAGTTTAGAAGTTAGACAGGTGCCTTATTCTTTATTTTCTATGGAGCTTGCTGCTTTTGTTTTTTTGCAGCTGTCCAGGCTGGGGAGGGGGGGTGGGGGGTCCGTTACTGCCATTAACTTTTTTTTTATGCTATTTTGCCAAGAACTGCACAGCCATCCACACAGCCAACTGTATTATTGCTTATTTTTATTATACAAATGTCTAGTAATATGACTGGTCAGTTGGTGTTGTCAAGCTGGAACGTTAAGGGTCTGAACCACCCGGTCAAAAGAAGGAAGGTGCTTTCTCATTTAAAACAATTAAACACAGACATTGCTTTTCTGCAGGAGACTCACATACGAAGTGAAGATAACAAAAGATTACTGCAAACGTGGCAGGGGCAGAGTTTTCACTCCTCCTTTAGAGCGAAGGCTCGTGGCGTCTCAATCCTCATCAGTCAGGACATTTCTTTTGAACCTCTTGAAGTTAACTCAGATAAGTATGGTCGCTATGTGATAGTTTCCGGTAAATTGTACAATACACCAGTAGTGCTTGTTAACATTTATGCCCCAAATACAGATGATGTAGGCTTCTTTGAGAAAGTATTTTCACTGCTTCCAGACCTTAACATATTTTCATTGGTACTTGGAGGCGACCTAAATTGCTGGCTGGACTCAGTTTTGGACAGATCCTCTACCAACCCCGTCACAGCCAGCAGGTCATCCCACACTATCCGTGCCTTTTTATCCAAGTATGGTCTGTGCGATGTGTGGCGTTTTTTACACCCCGCTGAGAGAGAATATTCTTTTTTTTCTCATGTTCATCATACATACTCAAGGATTGATTACTTTTTCATTGACAATAAACTTCTTCCCTCTGTCCGTGGCTGTAACTACCACAGTATTGTCATCTCAGATCACGCACCTGTGACTCTAGCCCTGTCCCTCCCTGACGTTCCTTTGAGGAGCAGACAGTGGAGATTAAATTCAACGTTGTTGTCAAACAAAGATTTTGTCACATTTATAGAGAAAGAAATAACATTTTTCCTATCCACCAACAGAACTCCTGGGATCCCACTTTCAACAGTCTGGGACACGCTTAAGGCCTATATCAGGGGACAAGTCATTTCATACACCGCTCGGCTGAAGCAAAAATCTCAAAAAGAAAGAACAGTTCTGGCCCAGCAAATTAAAGAAATAGATAAACAATATGCTCAAAACAAATGCCCTAATCTCTACAAAAAACAGCTAGAACTCAAAACTAAATTTGACTTATTGACCACACACTCGATAGAACAATTACTCTTAAAAAATAAATCCACATTTTACATACATGGAGAAAAGTCAGGAAAACTACTTGCAAATCAGTTGAAGGGTGCCAGGGCCAAACAATTAATCCCTAAGATCCAATTAAAGAATGGCAATTTAACTCTAGATCATTTACAAATTAATGAAGCATTTAAGGACTTTTATACTCATCTATATACTTAAGAATCCCAAACCAATAAGAATTTATGTTCCGATTTTCTTGACCAGATTAATATACCCAAACTCATACCCAACAGAAAAGAGGCACTGGAGATCCCAATATCCCTCACAGAAATTGAGTCTGCTGTCTCAGTAATGCAGTCCGGCAAATGTCCGGGTCCTGATGGCTTCCCTGCAGAATTTTTTAAGAAATTTTCTCCATTACTCTCCCCACTTCTACATTCGGTTCTTTCAGAGTCGTTTAGCCAGGGATCCCTTCCAAAATCTTTCTCTGAGGCCTGCATTATCCTCATTTTAAAGAAAGGAAAAGATCCAACTCAATGCTCTTCTTACCGACCAAGCGCCCTTATAAATACAGACGCCAAAATTTTAGCCAAAGTCCTAGCCCTTAGGCTAGATAAGATCCTTCCTTTTATTATATCAAAAGACCAAACTGGATTCATTAAAGGTAGGCAGTCCTTCTTTAATATCAGGCGTCTTTTTGACATTATTTATTCTCCTTCGACTACTGTCCCAGAGTGTGTCATCTCCCTTGATGCGGAGAAAGCATTTGATCGTGTTGAATGGGACTACTTGTTCAATGCTCTTGGCAAATATGGTTTTGGCCCCAACTTCATCACATGGGTACAGCTAATTTATTCACATCCCACTGCAACCATTCGTACCAACTTTCAGATATCTAGACCATTCAATCTGCATTGAGGAACTCGCCAGGGTTGCCCACTGAGCCCTTTACTCTTTGACCTAGCAATTGAACCTCTCGCCATTGCTTTACGGTCCTGTAATACAATTTCAGGAACCTGGAGAAGTTGTCTGGAGCACAGGGTATCCCTCTATGCTGATGACCTCCTACTCTTCATCTCTCACCCGACTGACACATTGCCTTCCATTCTATCATTGCTTAAGGAATTTGGAATACATTCTGGCTACAAATTAAACTTAAGTAAAAGTGTAATTTTCCCCATTAATATCTTGGCACAGGCTCTTGACTTCAGTAATTGGCCTCTGAAAGTTGAGAATCAAAAATTCTCTTACCTGGGTGTTATAGTTACTAGGATGTACAAAGATCTGTACCAAGAAAATTTTGTCTCTCTACTGAACCAGACAAAGCAGGCGTTATCCCTGTGGTCACCGCTTTCCACATCTCTCATAGGCCGCATTAATTCAGTCAAAATGCTCACTTTGCCTAAATTTTTGTATCTCTTCCAAACCATTCCAGTTTTTATTCCTGGTTCATTTTTTGTGCAATTAAATTCCATCATTTCATCGTATCTCTGGCAGGGAAAACGTCCGCGCTTAAATAAGACACATCTCCAAAAAACCAAGATCGCAGGCGGCCTTGCCCTTCCAAATCTCCGTTTCTATTATTGGGCTGCAAACTTGCATTGCCTTGCATTTTTATCATTCTATTACAATAGGCCGGACTGCCCTGACTGGGTAGCGATGGAGTCAATATGTTCCGGGAAGTGGTCCACCCTGGCCTTTTTGGGATCCTCGCTCCCACTTCCACCACTTACAACTATTACAAACCCAGTTGTTAAACACTCACTAAAAATATGGGTACAATTTCGTAAATGCTTCGATCTCTCCAGTTTCTCTCTCTATACCCCTATCATGTCTAACCAGTCCTTCAAACCCTCATCTCAGGACCCTGTTTTCAAAGAATGGGAGAGAAGGGGCATAGTACGCTTCAAAGACTTGTTCCACAATAACACTCTAGCTTCATTTCAACAATTAAGTGAAAAATTTAGCCTTCCTCAATGAAACTTTTTCAGGTATCTCCAAATACGACACTTTATTATCCTTCATCTGCCAAGCCTCTCCATTTCAACAGATACCAATACTGTTGATACTATTCTTTCTCTAGACCCTAATAAAAAACATTCTATTTCATCCATCTATAGCAGATTACTGGATTTGAAGCGTGTTCCCTCAGATAAATTCAAAGCTGCTTGGGAAGAGGATCTTGGCTTCTCTATTTCAGAGAACTCCTGGACCTCCATACTCAGACTGGTGAGCTCCAGTTCTCTATGTGCTAGACATCACCTAATCCAATTTAAAGTGGTGCACAGAGCTCACATCTCTAAACTGAAACTGTCCTTTATGTATCCTGATGTCAGCCCATACTGTGTAAGATGTAAATACGCTGAAGCGTCCCTCTCACACATGTTTGGTTTTGCTCATCCCTGAACAAATATTGGAGGGAAATTTTTCAGACTTTATCACGTGTGCTAGGTACACATCTGAGCCCAGACCCACTGATTGCTTTGTTTGGTGTCGCAGAGGGAGTGACAAATCTAAATAAAAACCAACGGCATGTACTATCTTTCACCTCTCTCCTGGCCAGACGAGCCATTCTGCTCAGGTGGAGAGAACCATTTCCCCCCACTCACGCTCAGTGGTTGACTGACATCATGTCTTCTTTAAAGTTGGAGAAAATCAGATTGTCACTCCAACAGAAAGAGGGCAAATTTGAGAAAGTTTGGGGAACTTTCCTGAATTTATTCCAGTCTCTTTGACAACACAACTCCTTCGGGGTAATGCAGTATCTTGGCTATCTTAGCTTCTTAATTCTTTTCTTTTTCTCCTTTCTGTTTGGCAGTGATTAGGGAGGGATTATTTTCCTTTATCCTGTTTTGGTTATACTGTATGTGATATAATTTAAATTGACTCAAGCTAATTATGTCTTTACTAATGCTTACATGTAAATGTTTTTATTGCCAACTTTGCTATTTCTTTTTTTTTTTTTCTTCTTTCTGTTTGTTAAAAAATGGAAAAAATTTCAATAAAACAGATCTTGAAAAAAAAAAAAAAAAAAGTGCCAGACCTTTTACAAGTTAGCAGCAAATGAGCAGTTTAAGTTGTGTAAAAGTACCTAGATACGCTAAATGAATGGTGCAAAACATGCAAACCACAAATTTGAAAGACATACAAGTCATTATTTTAAGAATTAACTGTATTTTGACGATAAGTTCATTGAAACACTTCACAATGTTTCTACACTTAAACAGCTCACAAAAAGAAAAAAAAAGAAAAAAAAAGAATTAGCTGTATTAATAATTAATTAATAATAATTAATAATGTACCTTACCTTATGTAAGACTTGCTTGGTGATATTTGTTCAGAATGCTTTTCTTTTAGTAAAAAGAGAGAACAAAACTATAACTTCTACAAACACGTTCTTGTGTGCAAGTAATGTGTCAGTAATTATAATTATAATAAATGTATTCAGCTGCAGAGTCCGTGTCTCACCAGAATCAACAATGAGATCATGGTGGTTGTTGTTCAGTTGAACTTGCAAAGCCTCTAAGATTTGCATCAAAACACGTTCCCGTTTAAAAACAACTTTCTTGTAACTGCAGGGGTTTTGCACAGAACATGAAAATAAACATGGCTCATAGTGAGACTTTGACCATTTCAGGTTAAAAAAAAATGGAGAAAAAATAAATTTATTCCTCATTGTGTTTCAATTTAAACTCTACACTTTTCTTTGTGATGAAGTTATAATGTATGCAGTTGAAGATTGACTTGATGATGGGAAATAACATAAAACTTTTAAATTTTTATTTTTGCAGATTAATTTAAACAACCCAGCCCTCTTGGTTTGAGTCTGATTTTAGAACTATTGTTCCCTCATTTACTTTCATACCTTTGCAGGCACTATTTAATGACTGTTCAATCACCTGATATATAAGTTTTAGTTTTGATCTCCTCGAGTAAAGACTAACTTTGGGCTCTGTGTTCATTAAATTCAACACTTTGTCACAGTTTATTTAATCATTCTGGCTTCGATGCATTTTGCTTTGTTTGTTTGACTGTTCTATAAATCTCAAAGACTGTTCTCACTCTTCCCGTCTGCAGGAGCTGGATACTCCCTTCAGGCTGCTGGGTCTGACTGTGAACCCCCTGATCTACAACATCACCAAGGTTGTCATCCTTTCGGCTGTTTCTGCAGTGGTCAGTGAAATGCTTGGCTTCAACATCAGAGTGAGTAGAGTTTTCAATTCAATTCAATTCAGTTTATTTATATAGCGCCAAATCACAACAAAGTTGTCTCAGGGCACTTTACAGGAACATTCACATACATAAAAGCCAATTAGTAAAGTTCTCTATCTAAGGAATCCAGCAGACAAGTTGAATCTTGGCTTTGTTGCAGTCTCCCATCCTGAGCGAGCACAGTGGCAACAGTGGAAAGGAAAAACTCCCTTTTAAAAGGAAGAAACCTCCAGCAGAACCAGGCTCAGGACAAGCGGCCATCTGCTTTGGTTTGAGAGAACAGGAAGGAGAGACAGACGAACATAGAATGGTAGGTCCAGGTATAGGTCCACGTCTATCTGAAAGACAAAAAAACACGTTAAGGATAGAAAAAATAATTACAAATACAAAACAGGTTGAGCAGAGTAAGTAAAGACAGTAGTAGAGTGAAAATTGTGGTCAGTTTGTCCTCCAGCAGTCTAAGCCTATAGCAGCATAACTAAGGGACAGCTCAGGAAGCCCAAGCCGACCCTAACTATAGGATTTAGCAAAAAGGAAAATCTTAAGCTTAGTTTTAAAACTGGATGTGTCAGCCTCACGGACAGAGATTGGAAGTTGGTTCCACAAGAGAGGAGCCTGATAACTGAAAGATCTGCCTCCCTTTCTGTTTTTGTTAATTCTAGGAACCACAAGTAAACCTGCAGTCTGAGAGCGAAGCGCTCTGTTAGGAAAATATGGAACAATAAGATCTGTAATATAAGATGGAGCTAGGTTGTGGAGAGCTTTGTAGGTTAGAAGTAAGATTTTGAATTCTATTATGGATTTGACAGGGAGCCAATGGAGAGAAACTGAAAATGGAGAAATATGATCTCTCCTACTAACTACGGTTAAGACTCTAGCAGCAGCATTTTGGACCAACTGAAGACGTTTTAAAGAAGTATTTGGACATCCAGATAATAAACCATTGCAATTGCCCAGTCTAGATGTGACAAATGCATGGACCAGTTTTTCTGCATCATTTTTAGATGCTTCTAATTTTAGTGATATTACGCAGGTGGAAGAAGGCAGTTCTAGTAACGTTTTTAATGTGGGGGATAAAAGACATGTCCTGATCAAAAATAACACCAAGATTTTTAACATTAGAGCAGGAGGACAGATTAATGCTATCTAAGGAGGGAGAAAGACTGAAAAATTAATTCCTAAGATGCTCAGGTCCAAAAACCAAAACCTCAGTTTTGTCTGTGTTCAACAGGAGAAAATTAAGGGTCATCCAGGTTTTTATGTCTTTAAGACATGCTTGTAGTCTAAGTAGCTGATTGGATTCATTGGGTTTAATGGACAAATATAATAGTGTGTCATCAGCATAACAATGGAAATTTATCCCATGCTGTTTAATAACTTTACCTAATGGAAGCATATATAAAGTAAAGAGTATTGGCCCAAGCACTGAGCCCTGAGGAACTCCACGACTAACTTTGGTGTATGAAGAAGATTTATTATTTACATTTACAAACTGGAATCTATCAGATAGATATGATTTAAACCATTTTAGAGCTGTTCCTGTAATCCCAATATCATATTCAAGCCTCTGTAGTAAAATATTGTGATCAACTGTATCAAATGCAGCACTGAGGTCTAACAGGACCAGTATAAACACAAGTCCATTGTCTGAGGCCATGAGAATATCATTAGTTACTTTTACTAGTGCTGTTTCTGTGCTATGATAAGCTCTAAACCCTGACTGAAACTCTTCAAACAGATTTTTTATTTGTAGATGTTCACGCAACTGACCTGCAACTATTTTCTCTAGAATTTTTGAGATGAAAGTTAGATTAGATATAGGTCTATAGTTGGCCAAAATTTCTGAATCAAGATCAGACTTCTTAAGTAAAGGTTTAATTACAGCAACCTTAAAGTGCTGTTGTACATAACCATCCATTAAAGACAAATTAAGTAGATCCAAAATGTGGACATTAATTAGGGGAAATACCTCTTTAAACAGTGTAGTTGGGATGGGATCTAGCAGACATGTGGGTGGTTTGGATGACGTTATTATTTTTGACAATTCAGAGAGCTCAACAGGACAAAAACTGTCCAAACATAAATCAGGCTCTAGTGAAATTTTTAAAGTTGCCTCATTTGACAGAGGACTAGAGATAGTAGAAGGAAGGATGGTTTGAATTTTCTCTCTAATTGAAATAATTTTATTTATAAAGAATCTCATGAAGTCATCACTACTTATAGTAGGGATACATGGTTCAACAGAAATGGGACTTTTAATTAGTCTAGCAATAGTACTAAACAGAAACCTAGAGTTATTTTTATTCTCCTCTATTAAAGATGAGTAATATAAAGTTCTAGCATTACGGAGAGCTTTTTTATATGTTAGCAGACTATCTTTCCAAGTTACATAAAATTCTTCTACATTAGTAGAGCGTCATTTTCTCTCCTGGTTTCTAGATGCCTGCTTTAAAGTACGTAACTCAGAATTGAACCAAGGAGCCAGTTTCCTCTGATTGATTACTTTTTCAGTGGAACAATTTTATCAAGTGAACTTTGCATTGAAGTTGTAAGATGATCAACTAGATGATCTAAGTCACTGTTCTCTGATGCATTACTCTGCAAGACAGAGGAAAACATTGATGGAAGAGATTGTTTAGATTTGGTTACAGCATTTTCTGATAAGCACCTGCTGAGATGAAATTTACTCTCAGTGACTGTGTAGTCATTTAATGTAAACTCAAAGGTTATTAAAAAATGGTTGGACAGAATAGGATTTTGAGGAACTATTACCAAGTCCTTAATCTCTATACCATAGGTCAGAACTAAATCAAGAGTGTGATGATAAGAATGAGTAGATGTGTGGACGTTTTGGGTAAAACCAAATGAGTCTATTAAATTATTAAAGGCTATGCCCAAACTATCACTCTCAACATCCACATGAATATTGAAATCACCCATTATGATGATTTTATCAGTATTTAATAATAAGTCAATTAATAGTTCTGATAATTCAGACAAAAACTGAGAGTAAGCACCTGGTGGACGATATATAACAACTAATAAAAGTGGCTTTTCTGATTTCCATTTTGGATGAGAAAGACTGAGGGACAGCGATTCAAAAGAATCATAACTAATAACTGATTTGGCATTAATCAATAATCCTGACTGAAAAATAGAAGCTACTCCTCCACCTCGGCCAGTTGTTCTAGGAACATGAAAATTTAAATAATTAACAGGAGTGGATTCATTTATACTAACAAAATCCTCCTGTTGTAGCCAAGTTTCTGTCAGACAGAATAAATCAATATGATGATCAGTTATCAGATCATTAACTAACAGGGATTTAGAGGAAAGATATCTGATGTTCAATAATCCACATTTAATGATTTTATGATTTTGCTCTGGTAAAGTAACTGTGTTTATTTGAATCAGATTTTTATGGTTTATATTTTTAGAGTTGATTTTTGGTTTATTTAATTTGAGCCGTGGGCGAGTTGACACTGTTTCAATGGGGGTGTGGGTGGGTAACAGAGGAGAAGCAGCAGAGAGGTGTGGAGGACTACAACTCTGCTTCCTGGACTGGACCCTGGGTTGTCAATAATTTGGGGGATAAACAAAATCAGCCATATTTCTAGAAAGAAGAGCGGCTCTGTCCAAAGTGGGATGGATGCCATCTCTCCGCATCAGACCAGGTTTTCCCCAGAAAGAACTCCAGTTATCTATGTAGCCCACGTCGTTGTCAGAACACCACCTGGACACCCAGCGGTTAAACGACGACATACGGCTAAACATGTCATCGCTGGTCAGGTTGGGGAGGGGGCCGGAGAAAACTACGGAGTCCGACATGGTTTTAGCAAAGTCACACACCGAAGCAACATTAATTTTAGTGACCTCCGATTGGCGTAACCGGGTGTCATTACCGCCGACGTGAATAACAATCTTACTGTATTTAGCCTTAGCTTTAGTCAGCAGTTTCAGATAAGATTCTATGTCGCCCGCTCTGGCCCCAGGAGTTCATTTGACTATGGCCGCTGGAGTCCCTAAAGCCACGTTTCGGACTATGGAGCTGCCAATAACCAGGGTCTGTTTCTCAGCGGGTGCGTCACTGAGCGAGGAAAATCGATTAGAAACGTGAACGGGTCGGTGGTGAACTGGGGGCTTAGCCTGCCTTAGCACTACGCTTGCTCCGGACCGTCACCCAGCCGGCCTGGGGTCTCGGCTGCTCGGGGTCTGCTGGAGGACCGCTAGTTTTGATGATAATGATAACTATTAACTTTCATCCAACATTTTTCAGTCAGGTCATCTGGACAGTTTCTTTTTTTGTGCTGAAACGTTTCACCTTCGATCCGGAAGGCTTCATCAGTCAAGGAAACACACAACAAAACTGATTCTTCCACCAACAGCTTACTCCAAAGTGGAACAAACCAGTTCTGCTTGTGATTAGATGGTCTCTTTGGTACGCCCCTCCTCCATTGCCGGCCCTCTTCCTTGTTGACAGTTGTCAAACTGGTTGAAAACAAAAAAAATGTTGGATTTTATACCTGGATTATTGAGCATGGACTTTGTTATTAACTTTCATCTTCTCAGAACTGTTTAAAGAAGCCAAACTTATAAATGCCTAGCATTCCTTGAAGAATTGGATCTTGCCCACCACCTTTCATGCCAGAGTTAAACTTGTCTTGAGTTAGAAATTATGGTTTGGTCAGCCTTTAAAGAAACACAATCTCATGACATATCACATGATGTTGCACAATCTGTAACTGATTAGTTTGTGTTGGGAATGACTCTCGTTAAGCTAATATTTGGTGTTACCGTCTGTAAATTTTACCAAGTTATAGTAATTTTTGTGTTAGCTAAGGCTGATTAGCTGTGGCGGACATCTTGAATTAAACTGACTCCAAAAGGTTATCAGCTGTAAAAGTAAATCCATTGATTACCTTCTGGTTGTTTTATAAAAATCCGTTCACTGATTCATGAAATTTATTTTGCTAACAGACACACCCACAGATGCAGGTAAAAACATCGCCTTTTCAACTTTGGCTGTGGAGGATAATAAACCTAATAATTACCAGAAGAGATTTTAGTTGCAAGTTAAACCCTCAGTATAAACAGAAAATACCAGAAGGAATTTTATATTGTAAAAAATATGCTTGAAACGTGTAATTTTTCTGTTTCTGTTTGAGTTCAACAAGATAATTTGTCATGATAATCAATATTTTATTGTTAAACAAGCAAAACTTGTTTTTTAATATATAGATCAATATTCTTCATATATGTTGCATATTTAACTTTTTATAGACTTTTGATTTGTAAATATCAAATTTCTCTGTAAGTATTGTATTTTCCTCATTGCTGCCACTCTTATCTGCTACATTTGCTTACTTTATGTAAATTAAAATATCTTTTTTTTTTTTTTTCAGCTTTGGAAAATCAAACCTTAATGTGAAGACAACAACAAGCCACTGGGGTCCAGAAACACACACTGCTCTGTCCAAAGCTGTGGGAATGCAGGGTGCAAAGGGCGCTGCAGCACCTTCTGATGGCCAGAAGAAATGCACGCCCAAACAGTTTTAAAAACAAGATTAACAGCAGGTTTTATTAGTGCTTCATGTTTAAATTTAAATAGTATTTAATATTAATGATTCTTGTAAATCTGGTGTATAAGCCAACACACACACACCAAGTGAAACGCGTTCCCTCGATTTTGGCTCCGTCTGTCTTCTCAAACACTAAATGTGCACAAGCCTACTGACTTTAATGTGCTGACTGTGCCTTCTTGATGAAACGTCAGTAGTTCAGACACCAGAGATGCTCCCACAATCACTCACGCTTTGTTTCTATCTTCTACTTAGATGTGGGGGCATTAAGTTTCCATCAGCTCTGAGACAGATGCAGAGCCGGACCTCTAATCCCTGAATGTTCCTTTGCAAGTGGTCTAATTTAGCACTAAGCTGACGTGAGATCATTTCAAACTTCTGTGGATCCAGATTCCAATATGTTTCCTGTATAATTGTGACTCATCGTGTTTGTTTGTTAATCATAATGGTGTACATATTTGGGGAATTAATTTTTTTCTTAATTGTAAAAAAACAAGATGTATTAAATCACTTTTTATAACCTTTAGCTTTTATATATTTAAATTATATCCTCATAATTGTTTGTATTTTATTTATTTTTGTTTCTGATTGAGCTCTTATGATCTTCATTCCTCTTTGAACATCTTTCCCTATCGAGGACCAATATTAATATGTCTAAAAATAAATGAGAGGGAAAAAAAAATGTTAGGGAGAAATAAATAGTGTTTTTTCAACCAGAGAAGTTTGGCGTTCATTATTTTAGTGAACTAGGCCTCCAATCAAAACCTGCCTCTGAAGACCTTCATGGGACAGGAACTGTTATTTCATTTATTTGAATCCAGAAATACAAATTAGCTCATCCAGAGACTATCTAATTGTATCCTGAAGTAATCAATTGAAAGAACACTTTTTTTTTTATTATCATTACTATTTTACAATATCTTGATAAATCAAAAGTGTGTTTAGTTCATATCATTTCTAATGTTGAAGTGAACCACTCATTTTAAATCAACTGTGAACTAGTATTAATTATTTTTTTTAACCTCATTTAAATTAGAAATCAAGTTAAATGTCTATTTACAAAGTAATTATGCATTTTGATTTTCTGTCTAAATGAGAAGTCAGTGATGTCGGTCAAAAGTCAGACAGTCAGAAAGACGTTATTAGAACGGGCTGTATTGTTTTTAAACCTAGCAGCCGGCAAAAAGAGAAACACTGGCATCTACGTTCCTCTCACTTAGCCATAACATTTCTCTGTCTGTACTAAACGTTCTTAAACATTCCTGAATCCTCTGTTGACTTTTAATAACCCTCTGTCATCACTAGAACCACCCCCTGTTGGTTGTTTCAACCAATCAGGAAGTCCTAAGTGACCGGAAGTGAGAACTCTTTAAAAGTCCACACTTCCTGGAACTTCAGTCTACTCCGTCTACGGAGTCTTCTCCATCTTCTCAAGTTCTTCTGAGTTCTTCTTAAGTCTTGGATCGGAGTTGAACTCGGTCTTTGATGAAGTCTTCTCAAGCCTTCGGGAGTTTTCCACTCCTGAGTGGAAACTCTGACGGCGTCACAGCGACTTATTGTGAATCCACCCGGGTGTAACGCATCCAACTTCGAAGGGAGCTGAGCCTGTTTGTTGAACGGAGTAAATCGACACGACTTCTGACGATGACCAGCCGCTCTTACCGGAGACGCTGGAAGGTAGCGTTGAAATGGACCCGATACCGGAGCTGATTTATCTTGTGCGAAGGTAACGAGCCGTGACGTGCTACGTGTACCGGAGGTTTGAGCTGGTGATTGAAAGAAGCGTGCCAATTCTGGTCAACAACATACACCTCTCTTCACCCATCTTTTCTTTAAACCTCTAAACTCCTTTCTTTAAACTCTTCTATTTTGCCAGTGATCTAGATGCCTTCAGAAATGTCTTGTCTTATTAGTAAAGCGTGCCAAGTTTTATTAATCAGAACCAGATCAGCTAATCATGTGTACATGTTTTGATGTTAAATTTTGATTCTGTTAAATAAATGACCACATTTATTCTGATGGGTCAAAGGAAAATTAACGTCTCTTGTCACAATCCTCACAGTTACCTCGGTCACATGGCATTAATTTAACTCGAAAAAGAAAGAACCCGTTATATTTAAATAATTAATTAGTAGTGAAGGTACAGTAAGCTGTCTCCCACTTTCACTACATTTAGTGAGACCGTACATGTTTTAAATAACACATTTGGTGGGACAGTACGTCTACAGCAAAGCTGTCCTTGACGCACTACATTATCCATAACCCGGAAATCAACAATAATGTTTACGCTGGTGTGATTGTTACTTAACGTATCTCATAAAACTTCTTAACTTACTATCCATCTTTTACAAAGCTCTCAACAACCTAGCTCAATCTTGCATTACAGATCTTATTGTTCCATATTTTCCTATCGGAACACTTTTGCTCTCAGACTGCAGGCTTACTTGTGGTTCCTATAGTTTCCAAATGCAGAATGGGAGGAAAATCTTTCAGTTATCAGGCTCCTCTGTTGTTGAACTAACTTCCAGTTTCTGTTTGTTAGGCTGACACATTGTCCAGTTTTAAGACTGGGCTTAAGACTTTCCTTTTTAATAAATCCTATAGTTAGGGTTGGCTTGTTATGCTGCAGGCTTAGACTTCAGGCGGGCAAATTGACCTAATTTCTTAAAATGAATTGTTACAAATGAGTATTTTTAATTTGATATTATTTCTATCTTAACGTGATTCTCAGCCTGCCATTGTGTATCTGTTCCTCTCAAACCCAGCCAGTTGAAGCAGATTTCCACTTGTTCTGAGCCTGGTTCTGCTAAAGGTTTCTTCCTCATGAGGGAGTTTTTCCTTTCCACGGTTGCCTTCATGTTTGTTCAAGATGAGAGTTTGCAATGAAGTTAAACTCAAAGCAGTCTGCTCCTCAAATAAATAATGTTAAATTATTACTTTTAAATATGAATGTTTTTGTTCAGTGTCCTGAGATTACTTCTGTTGTGACTTGGCGCTATATAAATAAACTGAGTTGAACTGGATGGATTTTTTTTTTCATTCAACCTTTATTTAGACAGGTAAATCCCATTGAGCCTCGAGGACTCATTTACAATAGAGACCTGATTTCAACAAAGAATGATGACAACAATGGACAACAGCGACAACAATAAACTGTTATAAAATGTCATAATACAGTTTTTGTTTTTTGAAACAAATAGGATGGCTAAAAGAAAAAGGTAACAAAAACAGCTAGATTCTAAGGCGAATGTAGAAAACAAAAACAGGAGCATGTCTGCATTGGTCCCTGCCAGGAGTCCAACAGATTCTTAAAGCCACTTAGAGAGGTCAAGGTCGAGAGCTTCAATTGTTTTTGTAAGGTATTCCAGGAAACGGGAGCGGAGTAGGAGAAGGCCCTCTTGCCTAGTTCAGTCCTCACTGAGGGAACACTGCAGGTATGCCCTGAGAGCGCACACCGTAGCTGCACTCATACAGAGACATGTAGGAGGAGATGTATGAAGGCAGCAGACCAAGAAGTGATTTAAAGATGAAAATGTACCAGTGGGAGAGTCTGCATGAAGTTAATGATGTCCAGTTAACCAGTGAATACAGGGTGCAGTGGTGGATATGATAATCACAGCCAGTTATGAATCTTAGTGCACCATGATAGATAGCATCCAACATCTGCAGGGTTCTTGTAGGAGCGTTCATGTAAATAATGTCACCGTAATCAATGGATGGAAGGAAAGTCACAGATACAAGGCGTTTCCTAGCATTTTATTGAACCTTTCAAGAAACAATAATTGTATGTACCCTTAACTGATTAACTTTTAGAGCCAACCCATTCAAAATGGCCACCACAGCCAACTGAGCTTAGAAAACATCAACATGGCTATAACTCAGTTAACTGAGTTTTTTTTTTTTTTAATGTGTCACTTCTAAAACAACATATGACATGGCATCTGATTCAGCATGATGTTGTTTTTAATGTTGATTGAAATAGTTGTAACTCTGTGTCTCCTCAGTTTAAGATGTTTTAGTGTAAAACTGGTATGAAAGGCGGCGGGCGATGTGCATTCCTTCAGGGAAACTGGGTGGTGCAGTCGCTTGTATTACAGACTTTACGGTAGGTGTTGTGCGTAAAGACGCACCTCCAGCGTGGACAGAGGACGCGCCTCAGCGCGGAGGTCAGGCAGAGCGGACGGTCTCCCCCGGCAGCTGCAGGACCCTTGGTGCGGCACATCTGGAGGTTACGTTCGGAAACTCCGCAGAGACGCTGCTGAAGCTCACAGGAACCGTCACATGCGCAAACCGAGCAGGTAATTTAACGAATATGGTGCTGATATGCTGTTTTTTTTGGGCGCAGTGCTAAGATCAGATGAACGACGTGGCAGCATCTTCATTTCAGATCCTCTGCAACTGCTGTTGCCATGGAAACAAACCCAAAGCACGGTGTTTTCCGCCACATGCATGAGGATAATCCATCACATGCTGCTTTTTTTCTGCTGCTTTTTTCTCTCTCATATTCCAGTTTGGAGCATGTCCCTATGAAGGAGCGCTGATTTAAAGAGAAATCAGGTCAAATTTCAACATGTCCACCTCCCTAAGAGACGGTGGAGCCTCCACTAACTCAGTAGAAGCCAAAAAATCCGACGTGAGGCTGAACGAGAAGAAATGCTGTAAGTAATGAAGTCCTGCTTGAATGAGAGTCTGCAGGTGCTGCTTTATTAAGGCTCCAGTATACTGCCGCGTATGTCCGTTCATGCGTACGTACGCGTGTACGGTACGCAGAGGGTTCAGTCATGATACTCCAGCGTACACCCGAACAGCTGCAGAGCAGCTTCACAGACGAGGGGCGTTTACCTTCGGGACAAATTCAGGTCGCCGATTGGTCATTTACTGACACGCCTACTGGATTGATTGACAGGTAGGAAAAAAAGAAAAAAAGCGAGCGCTGTTAGCCTCCGCCGCAGTGGTGTTCTGTGTTTATATGTTGTTAATAAAAAGATCTAAAAAAAAAAAAAAAAAACAGAGCGCTGGCTCTACAGCCCACACATCAGACCAGCCCACCAGGAAATCTCCAGACCCTACCGCAGCCACGCTGGACCTGAGTTTAATTCACTCGTGACAAATTCCTCCATTTCTCACCATTTCAGTCATTGCATCAACGGAAGAGGAAGAGATCACTGCCTCTTGGCAAAAAAACAAAAGAAAAGGCCAGATCAGGGATGAAGAAGGGGAATTTAATACATTGGTGTTGCATACATAGCCTGATACATGACCTCTCTAAGTGGCTTTAAGAATCTGTTGGACTCCTGGCAGGGACCAACGCAGACATGTTCCTGTTTTTAGTTTTCTACATTCGCCTTAGAATCTAGCTGTTTTTTTGTTACCTTTTTCTTTTAGCCATCCTATTTGAAAAAAAAAAAACAAAAAAAACTGCAGTATGACTTTTTATAATTGTTTATTGTTGTTGCTGTTGTCCATTGTTGTCATCTTTCTTTGTTGAAATCAGGTCTCTCTTGTAAATTAGTCCTCGAGGCTCAATGGGATTACCTGTCTAAATAAAGGTTGAATGAATACAAAACAGTCCGTCGCTTGGCAGTTTATTGTGTGACACCGCCACCGCATACGCGTATGCGGTCGTAAAAATTGGAGCTTTGCACGGAGGGTACGCTGGGGGGTACGCACCTACCTCTGTGTACGTACGTGCGTACCTCTGCGTATGGGTGTACCCGGCAGTATACTGGTCCGACTGAACTTTGTTGTTTAGTCCAGTTCCAGTTCACAAATGTATTTTTAATCATCTCTTAGAAGCTTCTTCATTCAGGCTGGGATTTAATTTCAATTCAGTTCAAACATACTTTATTAATCCCAAAGGGAAATTATTTAATTAATTAATTTGAAGTTTACAGAGAGTTAGTTTGAGCAGTGGGATAATAATACTCTCCATTGTCCACAACAAAATGACTTTTTATGCCCTCATTTCTTCTTCTGGTTGTTGAACTCAGACCCATCATGGTATTTGTGTCCAAAGAGACAGAACAGTTCATTTGTTAGCAACAGAATGGCACTTTGATTTTCCAATAACAAAACTTGCATCGATAACTAAAGGCCAATACTTTTGTAGTTTGGTCTTCACTTGTAAAGCAGGTGTAAACACACATTACTTAAGGTTTTATTTTTATTTTTAATACATGTACGTGCGGTGTTGATTTCTGCTTGTTGCAGCGTGGGCTTCCTACATGACAAACTCTCCAACGGTGATCGTAATGATCGGCCTGCCTGCAAGAGGAAAAACCTACATGTCCAAGAAACTCACACGGTACCTGAACTGGATCGGAGTCCCAACCAAAGGTAAATAAAATGCAAAAGAAAAACAGCAATAAGATTTAAGATATGAACTAAGAAAAGCTTTAACTAAAAATACGCTTAGCACTAATAGCATAAAAACAATATGCATGAACATGAGTCTGTGTGAGCTGAGATGTGTTGAGTATTTTAGTACATATAAATAATTACAGAATATCTTCACACACTATAAGTATGTAAATAAAAGTGCATTGAAGACTCGTACATTACTCCTACACAAATTCAGCTCATAAATGAGATGCTTATGAAATCAACAAAGTACACATAATGAACTTTTATCAAATAAAAAAAAAAATACTGAAATGTATAACAAAAAAATAAATAGTATTTTATGCCATATCATATATATATATATTTTTTTTTGTTTTGTTTTTTTTGTTGTAGAATTGCACCGCTCAAGGTGGCTGCATGTTTGAGTAGCTCTGTTACTTTCATTCTGAGATTTTGCTTTGGGAAACTTTAATTCCTTTTTTTCTGGATGTAAATCACATTTTTTGGATGATTGTTTCCTCTGGTATCGGATGCTGGGCAAGGAAGGAATTTTACTGATTTTTACTTTTTTAGTTTTGGACATTTTTTATGATGCGTAACCATGGCAACAAGGCAGTTTCTACAACCAGGAACAGCTGATTAACATCTCAAAAGCTCAAATAATATCTCAACTACAGCCCCAAATCTCAAATGAGTTGAAAAGGATGTTCTGTGGACACATTCTCATCTCCCTGCCGGCTGTGCTCGAGTGCCTGACCACTGAGATCCTGGAGCAAGAAACATGGCTCATGACAGCGGAAGGACCGGATCCACCCTCTGCACCTACAGTTGGCTGTCCGCAGTGATGAGGAGCTCAGCAGACTGTTAGGAGGAGTGGCCATCACTCTTAGAGGAGTTCTCCCTGGCATTCGGGCGGTCCTACAGCCTGGGAGAACCAAGAGGCCAGCCGAGACTGGGTGGACGGCTCAGACGGCATCTGCAGCCAGTTTCTTAGGATCTACTGTGGGATGGACCTTTACAAGAGATCCTTCCTGTCTACAGCCATCAGTATCTATAACATCTCTTAATGAAATGAGGATCACAAGTTACAACAACAAATAATTTCCCTTTGGGATTAAAAAGTATTTTTGAATTGAATTGAATTGAATATCCTCTTAGTCCTGAGCTTTTGTTTAACAAATAATAATAATTTCCATTAGCTCTTTATGATGATTAGAACCTTTTAAACATATAAACAAGCATGGTTTTTGAACAACTATTTTTTTTAAATACAAACCGGATTCCAAAAAAGTTGGGACACTAAACAAATTGTGAATAAAAACTGAATGCAATGATGTGGAGATGGCAAATGTCAATATTTTATTCATAATATAACATAGATGACAGATCAAAAGTTTAATCTGAGTAAATGTAACATTTTAAAGGAAAAATATGTTGATTCAAAATTTCACAGTGTCAACAAATCCCAAAAAAGTTGGGACAAATAGCAATAATTGGCTGGAAAAAGGAAATTGAGCATATAACGAACAGCTGGAAGACCAATTAACACTAATTAGGTCAATTGACAACAGGACTGGGTATAAAAAGAGCTTCTCAGAGTGTCAGTGTCTCTCAGAAGCCAAGATGGTAAGAGGATCACCAATTCCACCATTGTTGTGCAGAAAGATAGTGCAGCAATACCAGAATGGTGTTACCCAGCGTAAAATAGCAGACTTTTAAGCTATCATCATCAACCGTGCATAACATCATCAAAAGATTCAGAGAATCTGGAACAATTGCTGTGCATAAGGGTCAAGGCCGTAAAACTCTACTGGATGCTCGTGATCTCCGGGCCCTTAAACGTCACTGCACCTCAAACAGGAATGCCACTGTCAAGGAAATAACAGAATGGGCTCAGGAATACTTCCAGAAAGCATTGTCAGTGAACACAATCCACCGTGCCATCCGCTGTTGCCAGCTGAAACTCTACAGTGCAAAGAGGAAGACATTGCTAAGCCAGCTCCACAAGCTCAGACATTTGCACTGGGCCAGGGGTAATTTAAAATGGAGTGCGGCAAAATGGAAGACTGTTCTGTGGTCAGATGAGTCACAATTTGAAGTTCTTTATGAAACACTGGGACGCCATGTCATCCGGACCAGAGAGGACAAGGATAGCCCAAGTTGTTATCAACGCTCCGTTCAGAAGCCTGCATCACTGATGGTATGGGGTTGCATGAGCGCTTGTGGCATGGGCAGCTTGCATGTCTGGAAAGGCACCATTAATGCAGAGAACTATGTTCATGTTCTAGAACAACATGTGCTCCCATCTAGACATCATCTCTTTCAGGGAACACCCTGCATTTTTCAACACGATAATGCCAGACCACATTCTGCAGCAATCACAACATCATGGCTACGTAGGAGAAGGATCCGGGTACTGAAATGGCCAGCCTGCAGTCCAGATATTTCACCTATAGAGAACGTTTGGCGCATCATAAAGAGGAAGGTGCGACAAAGAAGGCCCAAGACGATCGAACAGTTAGAAGCCTGTATTAGACATGAATGGGAGAGCATTCCTATTTCTAAACTTGAGAAACTGGTCTCCTCTGTCCCCAGACGTCTGTTGAGTGTTGTAAGAAGAAGGGGGGATGCCACACAGTGGTAAAAATGAACTTGTCCCAACTTTTTTGGGATTTGTCGACACCATGAAATTTGGAAACAACAGATTTTTCCCTTAAAATTATACATTCTCTCAGTTTAAACTTTTGATTTGTGATTTGTGTTCTATTCTGGATAAAATATTAGATGTTTGGCACCTCCACATCATTGCATTAAGTTTTTATTCACAATTTGTTTAGTGTCCCAACTTTTTTTGGAATCTGGTTTGTACTTGTTTTTACAGATTTAAAACATAAAATCTATATTCTCCCTGAATAAAACCAAGTTTTGGTCAAATAGAATAAAAGAGCATGATGCAGAAAGTTGTTGACCTCTCAGAAAGACATCCAGAAATATCCCAAAGTTGAATAATGTTTTTTTTAAAGCATAAAACACAAGAGAACTGCATCTAATTTATATACATGACGCAAGATGTATGTCATTTTATTGGAAATGGGAAAAAGATTAATTATATGAAATATACTGAAATAGGATATGGAAGCTAATACCTTTTCTTATATATAAATATGACTGATGATTTGCCATGGTCAGTCAGTGTTACTATAACGAGGGCACTTTATTAAATATTTGTCAGTGCTTTATAATAAATGTGTTATTGATTAATTTATAAACACTTTATAAAGCATTTACAATCACTCATAAATAACAGGTTTAAAACACTGTTCATAGAGTGAAGCTGGTTCACAATTTGACAAGATCGTCAGCATTTGTCAGTGAATTACCTGCCTGTGAGATGCATATTTATACAGGTCCTTCTAAAAAAATTAGCTTATTGTGATAAAGGTCATTATTTTCCATAATGTAATGATAAAAATGAAACTTTCATATATTTCAGATTCATTGCACACCAACTGAAATATTTCAGGTCTTTAATTGTTTTAATACTGATGATTATGGCATACAGCTCATGAAAACCCAAAATGCCTGTCCCAAAAAATTAGCATATCATGAAAAGTTTCTCTAAACAAGCTATTACCTAAGAATCTGAATCAACGACATAACTCTAAACACTTGCAAAAGATTCCCGAGGCTTTTAAAAACTCCCAGCCTTGTTCATTACTCAAAACCGCAATCATGGGTAAGACTGCCGACCTGACTGCTGTCCAGAAGGCCATCATTGACACCCTCAAGCAAGAGGGTAAGACACAGAAAGAAATTGCTGAACGAATAGGCTGTTCCCAGAGTGCTGTATCAAGGCACCTCAGTGGGAAGTCTGTGGGAAGGGAAAAGTGTGGCAGAAAATGCTGCACAACGAGAAGAGGTGACCGGACCCTGAGGAGGATTGTGGAGAAAGGCCGATTCCAGACCTTAGGGGACCTGCGGAAGCAGTGGACTGAGTCTGGAGTGGAAACATCCAGAGCCACCGTGCACAGGCGTGTGCAGGAAATGGGCTACTGGTGCCGCATCCCCCAGGTCAAGCCACTTTTGAACCAGAAACAGAGGCAGAAGCGCCTGACCTGGGCTACAGAGAAGCAGCACTGGACTGTTGCTTAGAGGTCCAAAGTACTTTTTTCAGATGAAAGCAAATTTTGCATGTCATTCGGAAATCAAGGTGCCAGAGTCTGGAGGAAGACTGGGGAGAATGAAATGCCAAAATGCCAGAAGTCCAGTGTGAAGCACCCACAGTCAGTGATGGTCTGGGGTGCCATGTCAGCTGCTGGTGTTGGTCCACTGTGTTTTATCAAGGGTAAGGTCAATGCAGCTAGCTATCAGGAGATTTTGGAGCACTTCATGCTTCCATCTGCTGAAAAGCTTTATGGAGATGAAGATTTCATTTTTCAGCATGACCTGGCACCTGCTCACAATGCCAAAACCACTGGTAAATGGTTTAATGACCATGGTATTACTGTGCTCAATTGGCCTGCCAACTCTCCTGACCTGAACCCCATAGAGAACCTGTGGGATATTGTGAAGAGAAAGTTGAGAGACGCAAGACCCAACACTCTGGATGAGCTTAAGGCCACTATTGAAGCATCCTGGGCCTCCATAACACCTCAGCAGTGCCACAGGCAGATTGCCTCCATGCCACGCCGCATTGAAGCAGTCATTCATGCAAAAGGATTCCCGACCAAGTATTGAG